AAATTCATCTTTTAAAAGGCTTGTGCCCAGGTCTTGGCGCTGAGGCCAGGGGCTCCCTAAGTCCATCATGGCCCTCAGGGGCCTTCCCTTTGCTTCCAGGTGACCAGGCCATTAGCATCACTTAGGAACGAGCAAGCACTCAGCTATGCCCAACCTGGTTTCAGCCTTTTCCCACGGACGTCACGCAGTCTGCCCGTGACCACAGATGACGCAGCAGTGTACTGAGACGCCCGAGTCTTTGTGGAAGCCCAGTCTCACACTGTGGCCATGTGTCTGTTTCACAGTGTCCTCATCACAGTCTGGGGATATTTTTAGCTGCATATAACATCACCAGCAGCATTCTACAGCGCTCCCCCCCTCCCCATACGCTGGCTTTGCAGGCCCGATGCAGACTCCAGCCTCTGAGAAGGGGGCGGAGCCGGGTAACAGGCTACAGGTAGAGAAATGAGTAAGAGAGACCAAGAATGGCGACAAAAACCCCCAACAACAACCCACAATTCCTTGCTGCTAAGGAGAGTGAAGTTGGGGGGAGCACACAGAAGCACAGCATTACAAAGAACCACTGGCACAGGGAATTCGGGGAACGGGAAAAGGCCGCCCCTCCCTCTGCACTGACAGATGAAGGCAGGCTTCGCGGCAGAGGTGTGCCCAGGCTGCTCCTCAGGAGAGCATGCGTCGTTGGCTGGGTGAATCCCTTTCCGCGGGGATTTTTGTGGGAAGGAACACCCACGCCCCTGGGGAACCACAGACCTCGCTGGCCCCCAGCCCCTGCTATCTGCCTGCGTGCCCACTTCCCCAGGGGCCCCTCACCTTGGTAGGTCCCCAGGAGCTTCTTCTGATCCTTTGAGGAAGTGTCATAGGAAGTGAAAAAGAAGAAGATGAGGACGAGGGCGCCCTGCAGCATTAAGGCCCAGGGGGGCAGGCAGCCCCGGACAGAGCGCGGGTACTTCGAGCCCATGGTGCATCTGTCCGCGCTGGGCTCCACCAGCAGCAGGCATCCCCTCTCCCCACGCCCACTCGCGGGAGCGATAGGGGAGACACCCGCCAAGGGCCTTATCTCAGGCCGCAAGGCTGGCTCTGCAGGCCTGTCCGTCGAGTTAACACCAGCGTGCAGGGCCCGTGATCACGGCGGGAGGGGGTGCATTTTTCCCACATTCATTCATCCAACAAACATTTTCCATACGGTTCCTGCCAAGCTCACGGTGAAGGGGGCATCCCCCCCCTCGAACCCAAACATGATAACACTGTGTCACTTGGTCCTTCAGCTCATCCTCACCATGTCCGTGTAGGAAAGACAGCGAATGGGTCAGCACTCCTGCTTCACAAGTGGGGAAACTGAGGCTCACCGGGGTCTGTGCACCCGCAGGCTCCCGACAAGAATGAATTGATCAAGAGAGAACGGACGAATGAATGAATGAATGAATGCCAGCGAGGTACTCGAGAAGCCCCAGGGAGTCTGCAGACCAGACCCAGGAAGAGCTGCCCTCCAGGCTACAAGGCTGCAATGACTTATGTTTCAATCCGTATTTAAATCCCCTTTTTTCTAAGCATTTTTTAAAGGTAGGTGGGGGAAGAAAAAAATGGCTTGAATTCATTCAGTTCTGGAAAAATCCAGACGGGTCCTGGCCCAGCATCGGGCTGAAGATCCCCCCACCTCGGGCCGCCTCCATGCAGAGCATCCAGGACGCTGCCTGGGGCACGAGTGTCACTGACCTTTGCCGAAGGCCCCGTCTCTGCGTCCCCTCCCAAAGTGGTGACAGCCCCCGGCACAGGACTTGGGAGCCCGACATGGAGTTTTTTTTTAAAAAAGATTTATTTATTTATTTGAAAGGCAGAGTTACAGAGAGAAAGGAGGCAGAGAGAGAGAGAAAGAGAAAGAGTCTTCCATCTGCAGGTTCACTTCCCAGATGGTCCCTGCAAAGGCCAGTAGAGGGCCAGACCGAAGCCAGGAGCCAGGAGCCAGGAGCTTCTTCCGTGTCTCCCACGTGGGTACAAGGGGCCCAAGCACTTGAGTCATCCTCTACTGCTTTCCCAGGCGCATTAGCAGGCAGCTGGACTGGAAATGGAGCAGCTGGGACTCGAACCGGTGCCCATATGGGGTGTTGGTATCACAGGCAGCAGCTTTACCCATTGTGTCATAATGCCACCCTCCCCCTGCCCCGCCATTTGTCACTTGAATGTTTGTTTATTGTCTGTCTTCTCTGCAGCGTCTGAGGGAGTTTTGGGTGCTGTGGTGCTCAGTCCATAGTAGGTGCTCAATAAATACCTGCTGGATGAATAACAGCCACCATTTCTGCAACGCCCAGCACCAGACAAGCATCCTGCACACATTACTTCATGTAACCTTCCCCCGAGCCTGTGGCCACAGGCATCATTGCCACTGTTTTACAAGGAGGAATCTGCTGCTCAGAGAGGTCATGCACGTCCCCAAGGTCACACAGCTAATAAAGGGCAGGGTGGGACCTGGGTGGGACCCAACCCAGACACCCACCTGTCAGTACAGCTTGTGCTGTTAACCGATTTGCCACCCTGCCTCCCAGGGTACTAATCAACCCTCAGTCAGTTTCCTTGTGGGTCGAACAAGATGACCCGACCTGCTTCCCTCGCAGGGTCACTGCAAACACAGAGCCCATCTGGCAACTGGTGTTACAGAAATGCAGGCGGGCAGGGGCTTCTGCGACTCTGGCTGGCAGCGTGAGGGCCCAGGCTTTCCCCAGGTGTGGCGAACCGAGCCAGGGAGCCCGCAGCTTGCGCAGGGCAATGCCTGCCAGGAAACTCGCGCGCTGAGCTGGATTTCACCCGGCCTTTTCTGCAAGACCAGGGCTCGGTGGGAACGCCCGCCACGACCTTCCGCCCTGAGCCAAGCAGGCAGGGAGCAGTGCGGTGGGCAGGTCCTCCCTCCCCTCCCTGAGACTCGTCCCCACCAAGGCATGATCTTGCTCTGCTCGGGGCACACCTGGCTAAAGCGTGGCTAAGCCGAGCCTTCATTCACTGAACACTCATGAGCCTGGGAGTCGGCCACCTGCACTCGACTCCTGGTTGTGCAATTAATTAGCTGGCAGGACCTCAGGGAAGGTGGTCAGGGTCTCAGGGCGTAACTTCTCATGTGTACAGCGTTACTCTCCCAGGGCTGTGACGCTAACATGAGGTTGTGCACTGAGCATAGTCCATGAACGTTAGCAATCATTATTACCACACAGGCCTGGCACACTGACTGCAGAAAACTCTGAAAATTCCAAGCTGCACACGGCTTCTGTCAAGTACCCGCGGTGCTCCATCCCGAATACCAGTGCTGCGTTTTGTGCGTGCATCCTTTCAGGGGTTTTCTGGCTTAGGCCTCGTTTGTTTCCCTGCAAACATGGGATGGTACAGCACAGGCCAGGACAGCTCCTCTACAACATTATATACGGCACAGTGGTTAGGAGTCCGGACTCTGGCAGCAGCCTGCTGGGGTTTGAGTCAGAGGTCTCTGTCACTCGGTGTCCTTGGCGGAATCCCCTGCCCACCCTGAGTCACGATCACCTGTGGCGATGATTCTAGCCCTGTGTCTCCCATGATAAGCAGGTCATGTTGGCTCCACTTCGTAGATGAGAAAACTGAGGCTCAGAGAGAACAAGGCCAATGACTGGGCCTCTCTCATCTGGAAGACGGTGTTGTCATAATCTCAAGCTCATAGGATGTTGTGAGCTTTAAAGCAAATGCATGGGACTCGGAGCAGGGACTGTGATCCAGGGTGCTCGCGGGCTTCCACAGCCAGGGTGTGCGGCAGCTTCCTTAACCAGCCCTCTTCGTAGGATAACTGTAGGGCTGTTTCCAAACCACCCGGATTGTGACTGGTGTAGGCCAGGAACAAAGCCCTCCTGCGATTGAGGGAACTGAAGCTGCGGACCGAGGTGGAACCCACATTTCCTTATTTGGAGAACAGGATGTGGTGATCTCCCTCCAGGCTGCTGAGTTGAGCTGAAGCCCAAGTGTCAATCCCAACCCCTGGCTCATCAGAAAGTCCCAGGAGCGGGGGACAAGCCTCAGTTCCTGTCTGGGCCCTGGCCTTTTGAAGGAGAGCTACTTACTTCCCTTCCTCGTCTTACTCGTCTGTAGAATGGCCAGTGCAGGTCTCCGCCGCCTCCTGACTGGAGTGGCAGGATGGGGAGCAGGGGGCTCTCCTCTTCCCCCTTAGAATCCCCGAGGGCCACGGCGGGGCTGAGCAGGGAGAGGCTGGTGCTTGGCTGCAGCCCAAAGGGCTTGGCCAGGCTGCGTAGGGAAAAGGCAGCTGGGACTGTGGGAGGGGAATAGAGGGCCATGGAGAAGGGCAGTTGCACTCTGGCCTGTTCTTGGGCTCCTGGCAAGAAGGCCATGCCCAGACAAGCGCCCGATCAACACCCCTAACATCCACAGCACGCGCCTGAGCCTCGAGGCTTGAACTTGCTCAGCTCACGCCTGGGCTCATTTGCTATACTCTGCCGACTGTGTGGCTTTGTTTTCTCTGAACCTCAGTTTTCTCATCTATAAAGTGGAGCCAATGTGACCTGTTTGAGCGGGAACACGGGGCTAGGATCATCTCCAGAGTTGATCTAGACCCGGGGGAGGCAGGTGATCCCACCGGGGACACCGTGGGTTGGTGTCGGGATCGGACGGCTCCTTCTCCGGGCCTCACTCAGACTGCACTTCCTCTGCTCCCAGCACCCAGCCCTCCGACCGCTCCGGGCCATTCCACGCCTCAGCCCTGTCAAGCTCTTATCTGATGACAGGCTAGACCCGGAGCTTCAGCAGTCTGGCACAGGTCCCCAGCGCCTTGCTCATCTGTCCTCTGGATCACTCACCTCTCCATTCCACAGGGTGCCAGGGCCCTGACCTAGACAGCAGGGGCATGGCAGGGAGTGGGAGACACCACGGAGGCGGGGGCGGGGGTCTCAGCCACTCTGTCCCTTGCAGTTATGCGCATGAGGGATACGCAGGACTGGGGTCCCCACAGGGTCTGGAGCCAGAACCTTACCACGTACCTGTCCTCCCTAGCGCATCCAGGCCTCCGGATAACTCGGGCCCCTCCTGCGTCTTCCTCCAGGAGCCAGTGTGACTCGGCAGCAGCTGTGCCTTCCTGCTGCTCCGAGCAGAGCATTCTGCCCGTATCCTTTCCCAGGGATGGGCTGGCCTTGGTGCAGCTCCAAGCTTGCAGAGTTTGCTATTCTTGACTACCCAACATCACCCTACCAACGTAGCAGAGTAGAAGCGAGGGCCAAGAAACAGGCCCAGCGTGAACAGCAGTTACTTACTGTTAGCTACTGTACACCTGGCTCAGGAAGCTCATTACCTTCCAAGCCTTCAAATCAACCTGGGGCAGGGCGGGGTGTGTGTGGGGGGAGGCTCTGAGAGACTCAGGAACTTGCCCGATCTAGTTCAGTGGCCAAGCTGGAATTTCAACCCCGGTCTCAAAAAGCAGGACTCTTGCCATCTTTCTACAACTGCATCTCCACAGGCAATGGATGCGGTTCCCAAGGACCTTTTGGTCCAGGCGGATGGCTGCACCTCACCCAGGACACCCCATGCTAGACACAGCACCCGCAGAGACAAAGGCAGGAAGGAGGGAGACACAGCTGCAGGGGATTTAAGGACAGTGAGCAGGCCTGGGGCACTGGAAGAGGAGGGTAGGGCCGCACCCGACCGGCTCTGGACTCGGCACTAAAGAGAATGTGCTTTCTATTCCAGGCACTGGGCCACCTTTGAAGGTTTGTAAGGAGCAGAAAGGAACAGCTGGGATTCGGGTTCCTTCCGGGGTGGGTGCTGATACGGGGGTGACCATAAGGGAAAAAGGTCCACCGCGTCCATCTACTCCCCAGGAAGTTTGAAAAATGTCCTGGAAAATGAACTGCCCCCCCCCCCCCCCCCGCTGCTGGAAATCTGGTCAAGCCACGTGCTGGGATGCCCTGCAGTGACGGACGGGGCAAAACCGTGGAAAGACGCTGTGTACGCCGGAGAACAGGAGGCGGGACTTCACAGCCATTCGGCCCCTGTTCCCTGTGGTACAGTAATGTCATCCGTGGGGGAAGTGCGAGGAAGGGCAACGCAACGGGACGCCAGCAGCAGTCGTGCGGAGGCTGCGAGGCTCTCCGGCTCCTAGGCGGCATGTCCCCAGCTCCCTCTGCCAAGAATCCTGGCGGTCCTTTCTGATGGTTGCTCCGCCGTCCGTGCATGGCAGGGGCGTTAACGGGGAGAGACGCCAGTCGCCCAGCACAGCGCTACTACGGGTGGAGGGTCGCCGGCCCGGCGCCGCGGCCTCACAGGAGCCCAGCCAAGGCTCCGGTCCCCGCCCCGGGGCGGGCACGCCCCCAGTGACGAGGCGCGGCGACGGCGGCGGCGGCGCCCTCACAGGTCCCGCGGACCCAACGCGGCCTGCGGACGTGGAAGCCCCGGCCGCGCCGCCCCGCACAGCCCGGCGGCCTCGCGCGACGTCGCGCGCCCCACGGCCACGCCCCCCGTGACGCAGCGCCCGGGGGCGGGAACCGCGGCGGCCCCGCCCCGCGCCTCCTGCGATTGGCCGCCGCGCTGTCACCACGTCGCGGGAAGCTGGCAGGGTGTGTGTCCGTGTGTGTGGGGTTTGCTTTGTCATTCGTACCCCCGCCGCGCGCTGACGCGGCCGAGCTGGCCGAGCGCTCCGGCGTGCGCAGCGAGGGCCCCGGCGCCGCTCCCGGGACGCTCCCTTACATAATGACGCAACGGGCTGAAGCACATGTCAGCGCAGAAACCCCACACGCCGCACGCCCGGGCTTCAGGATCCCATTGCTGGGCGAGAGCCCACTCTGCCCTTCGGCGCGGCGTGCTCTGGAATGGATTCTAACACAGTGACACACGCAACCCCAAAACCCTGAAGCGTATCTTCGCAACAACGCATAATATAGGATGTTATATTTATAGGGCCTATTTATAAGCCTCTATTTAACTCTTTTCTGATAGGCCCTTCAGCGGGTCCAGACACCATAATGATTGGCGCATTCTTCCGTCCTTCAAGGAGGCGGGTTCTAGAGTCCGTTTTGCTCCAGTGGGCCCTCGGATTGGCCATCGGCAGCCTACCGGCGTCTTCGATTGGTCCCGCGGGCCGTCCGTCGGGGCCGAGGAGGCGGGGCAGAAGGCTGGCTGGTGCTGGGCGGGCGGGCCCCGGAATTGTCATTTCTTTGTTTCCGAAGGCGGAGGAGGCTCTGAGCCCCCCCTCCTCGTGCCACCCCCTCCCCCCGGGTGCTGGCTCCATGTCTGTGTGACCGGCCCCAGGGGTAGAGTCCAGGCCCGACGCGGGGCGGGCCGGCGGCGGCGGCGGCGGCTGAGGCGAGAGGCGGCGGCGGCGGCGGCGAGGGCGGCGCGGGCACCGGCCCCCCAGCGGGAGGATGAAGCGGCGGAACGCCGACTGCAGTAAGCTCCGCCGCCCCCTAAAGCGGAACCGGATCACCGAGGGCATCTACGGCAGGTGAGCGGCGGCGCCCCCTCCGCCGGGCGCGGGCCCCGCGTCCCCCGCCGCTCCGGAGGGGCCCCGGCCCCGTTATGTAACCCCGACTAGGCCGCACGCCCGCGCCGGGGGCTCTGCTGGCGAGCGCTGCCCCGGGAGCGGCCAGCCGGCCCGCCGGGGGTCCGCCCGGGGGGGCGCGGGGCGTGGGGAGGGCGCGGCGGGCGCGGGCCGAGGAGCCGCCGCACCGCCGTTGGGGCGCCCGGGCCCGCCGGGGGGAGGGGCGGCGAGCCCCCTGCCCGCCCGGCGCAGCGCAGCCCCCGGCCCGCGCCGTCGGGCCCGGGGGGCCTCTCCGCGCTGGCCTGAGCCCGGACGCGCGTGGACCCTAGGCACGGGGGGTGCGGAGCTGGCGAAGTTGGGCAGCCCTGGCCCCCCGGCGCCCCTGGGTGGCGGCCACGCCGCCCCTTCTTTCGCCTTCTGCCTGTCTTATGGGACCTCAAACTTGGCACCCGGGGCTGACGCCCCGAAATCCTGCCCTGGGACTCAGTCTCCTGGCGAACAGTATTTTGACCATTCCGAGCAGATAGTCCCCTCGAACGGTTTCCGAGAGCTTTTCTCCAAAGTCTTTTTTTTCCCCCCTCTCTTCTCCAAAAGGAAAGCAGTGTCCCTTTAAATAGAAATTGCACTCGGTCCTCCGAGGAGGACAACAGGTTCATGGGGCAGCGCAGGGACGTCGGTGGCTTCCCCAAGCCGACTTGGTGCGCGGCTGCTAATTTCTGGGCTGCTCACGGTGCGCGCTCTGAATGGGACGTGCCTGGCTGAGGAGGTGACTTCGGGGGAGAGGTGATGGGTGTGCAAAGCGGCCTTCTCGGCGTGGGGACATGCGCTTCGCCGAGTGCTGGGGGTGGGCCGCGGGGGCTCGGAGAAGTGTGTGCGGACGCGGGGGACCCCGGCTCGCCGTAACAGGACTGCCCGGCCCGGGCGTGCTGTTTGTTTACACGCGTGGGGTGTTTGCGCATGTGAACACTGGCGTTTTTCCGTTTTTAACTTCAGGTAAAAGCGTCAAGAAAAAGTGCAAAGGTCTTGGCTGTGCGCTCTGTTAGGGGCTGCAGCTCACGGGAGTCATTCATTCGCTCTGCCCTTGCACACGCCGTGTGTGTGTCAGGCCCTGTGGTAGCCGCTGAGCAAATGACTGGGGAAAACACTCCAAGATCTGCGCTGAGTTAGCCACACCGATGTTAACTCAGACCGCAACAGCAAAAGTATTTTTTCCTGAAGACCTAATGGGTGGAAAGGAGGTCTCTGCAAGTTACACTATGTAGATAGATAGATAGATCTCCTTGGATAAAGAAAAGGGTTTCCCCACCCACCTCAAAAAAGATTTGAGCAATCAAACCGTTAATAGTGGCACAGGGACAGAAGAGTGTGCGGCAGAGTTGGTAGACTCAGGACTGCTGTGTGTGCACGGCGGCCATTCACGGGAACCCGAGATGATGTGCAAGTCCTGTGTTGTCCGTGTTTTCAACTTCTCTTTGTACTTGAACAAATAGACTCAGTTTGCTACCTGTAGCATAGAAGCCACGTGCTCGAGCGGTGGGAAGCAGTGAACTCGCTGTCTAATCGAGGGCTGTTACTCTCCTGGTGGCTTTTGGAATGTGAGTCTTCCTACCCTAAGTTCACTATGCAAGTTGTTGAGGTCCATCTATGAAATTTTCAAAAACCAACAGTATTTCTGCCCTCAGCTCTATTTGCCCTCCTAAGCTTGGCCTTCTTTAAGTAAAATCTTGATGAAAAGACCAAAAAATATTTTACCTGTGTTTTCTGGTTGGAGCATCGTATATCACATGAACACGTCAATTTGCTTTTCTGCTTCTTAGTTCATATTATGGAGTATTGGACTAAAGAACAAGATCATGTATTTTTTTCCAATTCTGTTTTTAAGGAGATACTTAGAAAATTTCCATCTATTTCTTAGGCAAACAGAGTGAGTAGGCTAGTTATAAATTAGGATATTTGAAGATTCACGGATATCAAATTTCTGTTGATCATCACATTTAAGTCTGTCCTAAATTGTTTTTCACACCATCTAGGGCCCATTTTCTTCCTCAACATCTGGCCAATTTTAGTCTCATTAAACAGAGAGCTTTGTTGTTTTTCTGGTCCTGTGTTGACAGTTTTGATAAGCACTGTCTACTGTTTCGTAGCATAATCCTGGTGGACTTACCGTTTTCCGATTCTCAGTCTGTACAACTTTGTGAGCGCTGGCGTGGGAAGGAGGCAGCTGTGGAGCGGACAGCCCTGGACTGCAGGCTTCCGGAGGCCCGGGGTCAGACTCAGGATCCCAGCTCTGCCACTTGGGACGGGCAGGGCAGCCACAGCTTCGAGCCCCCGTTCTCACACCAGTTAAATGAGTTTTGAGGACTAAAGAAGATATGTACAGTTTGTGAAACTATGAATTATAGCTTGGTAAATATTACTAGGTTGTTGCTGTCACAGTTTTAACACTTGTGGTTTATTCTTTAAGGAGGCAGGAAAGACTGTAAGAATTGGTGCAGCCGTAAACTAAGAGATGAGCCATCGAAACAGGGGTCAGTTGTTGCTTGCTGTTGCCTAAAAAAGTCCTGTTGCTCCATGGGCTCCAATCCAGCAACTGTTACTGAGGTGATTGTCAAATGATGTCATTCATTGTCAGTGTCACGGCTGTGTTGTTGGAATTCTCTTTCAGGGACAAGATACAAGGCAAATTAATTTTAGACATTTTATGTATATTTTAAAGATTATTTATTTTGAAAGAGTTACAGAGAGAGAGAGAGAGAGAAATAATCCGTCTGCTGATTCACTTCCCAGATGGCCACGGTGGCCAGCAG